GCAAGTATGTCCATCTCATTCTCTTTCATATTGACAACTGTAGACATAGTAGCTATGTGCTTTCTAAGTTTGGTTGAGGATAGCATCTCTGGATGCACCGCACCACATTCTTTGGCTACCTGGCGTAGGGAGTCTGATCCCCTGATGTGGGTGTCTGCGCCCGGGCGGGAAAAGAAGTATGGGTTATGGTCAGAGATGGAACAGGCCCTTCTGTTCTCCACCAGCACCTCCATCCAAGCAATCATTTCAGGAGTCAAAAGAACCGGCACTTTCCGACTTCTTTTCCCTTTAATTTCAATGCGTTGAAAATGCTGACACAGCTTTTTCTCAAGTTGGGACAGTCCCAGAGCAATGTCAGAATGGATCCCAGTCTTACTTCTGAAGGTAAAGGCTGTCAGTGGCATCTTTGAAACCTCACCTTCCCTTCTTCGATTGAAAATGATGACCTCACAAAGAGTCAAAACTGCCAGTTTAGACCAATGCTTAGACGTTGGCTCACTTATTAGGGTTTGCACATATTCAGGTCGACATACCTCAATATGTGCATGCATGGCTCTAACGTCCTCAGTCAGAGGGAGCAGGTCCGGAGTGTTCCACTTGGCTTGCCGGAGGGTCTGTAGGGCAGCAGAAGAAACACAGACGTCCCACCTCTTCTCAAAAAGCAGCCGGCTTCGTTGGGAGGTTTTTAATAAATAGTTCATCAACACAATGCTCCATTTTTGAGTCACATTCAAGAATATCTGCTAGCTTTCTGAGGCTATGGCCGAGTTTGAGGGCCAAGGATGGAGTCTTGTATTGATTTGTTTCCTCATCATATCCAGCCACAGACCTGACTGCATCAATCACATGGTTAAAGTTGGAAGGAATAAAGAAATCCTTCATTGTTTTCAGTTTCCCTGCAGTTTTTGCTTCGTTCTGCCCTCAGAGCTAGTACATGCTGCCTTGTGTATGTGCTGACTCTCCGTACGTATGTTAACAATAAACTTACGCTTTTGATCAGACAAAGACCTTTGAGTTTTCTCCTTCATTGGGTAGAAACTTCCTTAACAATTTGGCGTTGCTGACATGTCTTGGCATGGATACTTTCGGCGGGGACGAGCGGCTTTGTTTGGCCGACCTGGATCACCAGCCTCTGTTCCTTTTTGGAGACAAAGGAGGGCGCGCTCGTCCCGCACGGAAGGAATCCTTTTGCCACACAAGACCAAAAAGAACCTAATCTGGTGAGTCTTGTCTTTTCATCTGCGTAACGAGCCCAGGGCAGCCCTTAAGTCGACACGGGGATTTGTTTATTTATGTATTTTTGGGGTATTTCATTCATTGCCACAGCATAGTCTGTGTGGTACGGGATTTTTTGGGGGGCTTTTTTGTTCTAGATTGAAAACTAACGCGGCTGCGCGTTAGTATCGTCCTGTAGGCGGACCCTGAAAATTTCTCCAAGTGTCTTCAGCCAGAACCGCTTTTAAGAATATCACGGCAAAAGAGGTTAGAGGTTAGAAAAGAAATATGTAAAAACAATAGCTCCTCCGCCTTTCACCGAAGCGGAGAACACAGAGGCGGACACACACACACACACACACACCCCCACCCTACCCCTACTAACAATAAGTGTGCACCCAAACAAGGCGTTGGGTTTTTAAAAAATGAAGCAGACTACTGTTGTCCCTCTTCCTCTCCCTATCCAGGTCTGTCGGCGCCTTTCCTCCGCGCTCTGTCCTCTGCCTCAAAGCACCAGCCCCACGCCCCAACCACAGGCGGCGCCCGCACCAGCTGAGACCCCGCGAGAAGTGGGCCCAAACCGCAGAAGAAGAAGAGGCGGAAACAGACACACGCTCAGGAAACCACAGAAGAAGAAGCGAGGGAAGCAAATATGTGAGACACCGACAACTGCTCTGGAGCACAGAGAGAAACTGCTCCAAATCCCGTGACTGTTCTCCACGGAGGGGGCAGCGTGATATACCAAACGCACCCGCGGAAACCCCCTTGAAAGTTGTTCCCGCACCGCAAACAGAAGAAGCCATTGTGACCGGCACGTTTGGGTTATTCACCAACCCTCATGGACCACATGCTAACGCTTTGGGCTACCTGGGCCTCCTGCGGACTTTGAAAAACTTCCACAGCCCGGCGGAAAGACTGTGTGCTCGACATGTGTCGAAGGACTGTTACCGGAGGAGGCGTTAAAGGCAGAGGAACGCTCAAGCTAACACGGGGCCAGAGGACGGCAGAGGCGGGCGTGGAGGAAACACGAGCGACTGATCAAACCCGGGTTTACATTCGTCACCAAAGCGACCGCTCATGTAAGTTGAACAACAACAAATTGCAATTGGCACTTTTTAGAGATAATTCATGCCCGTAATATACGCTAACAACCTGTGGTGTACAAGTTAAAATTCTGGATGACTCCGGGGCAACAAATTCTGTGCTAAAAGTGACAGCCTTTCTGTCTCCCCTAAAATGAGCGGCCGCTTCATATTCTAATTAGCAGCGTCGGAGAGACGACTAAAGAGCAATTTACGTCACCGCTAACGTGTTTTGATTCTCAGGGCAACCAGCTTAAACATTCTTTTCTATATTCCCCATTGTCCCCGGTTAACCTACTAGGCCGAGACCTTATGTGCAGACTCAATTAAAAATAGATAAATAAAAGGAGGCACCGGTCCCAAAAGTTAACTACCACTGGAAATTGACACCAAACCCTGAGATTGCTAAGTTATTAGCCACAACAAGTGGATAGTGACGCCCGCACAAAATTTGGAGGTCAACCACGCGAACGACCTAAGCTGCTCTCTCCGGTCGTTCCCAGACAATAACTTGGAGTTTGAAAATTCATGCAGTGTAGGGAAGATAGGCTAACGGAGTACGTTTATTGAGATAGGCACCACTATCTGTGCTACTTAATGAGTAACAAAAACATTTTTATCGTGAAACAAAGGTGAAGTATTAAAGTTTGAGACTAATTTACATTTTTAATGAATCCGACCTGGCTTTATTGAAAAAGAAAAAAAAAATAAGGAAAATAAACATTTTTTTTAGGTGACAAGAGCTCATTAGAGATATAGGGGACACAATCTGTGATAAGCCCGAAGTATAGACCACGTGGTAAACACTAAAGTTGGAAATGGATCCTTTTAGGAAAACTCTTTTAAAGCTCTGCAGGCTCTGAAAGTTGCAACAATAAGAAATAGCTCATGAGACAATTGGAATTGGACATGGAAAAATATAACAAAGTTAAAAGTACAGGCCTTCTGTGTTGTTACATGTTTGTGTGTGTTATATGTTTTGTGTATGTTATATGTTTGTGTGTCATGTCAAAGTACACTACGTCGACCTTAACAAACTCTGGACCAATACTAACGTGGGGAACCGGCCTGTGATGTGACTGTGATGTGACTGTGATGTGACTGTGATGTGACTGTGATATGAGTGTGATGTGAGTGTGGAGTGAACGAGGAGTGCTGAACGGAATCATGGAATAACAAATGTGTCTGTAATGTTTTAATGTGATCATGGAATAATTATTTTTTGTCAACAGCATACGGTGTAAGTACTAGAGATTCAAAGATAACGACCTTTATTGAACAGGTGTAAAAGTGAGAGTACTCTGGGATGAGTACTCTGAGAAAAGTACTCTGCGGAAAGTACTCGGAGATGAAATACCTCGCTGAAGATATTGGGAGTTCCTCCCTCTGCTGTTTGCCCTGACAGTGATTCGGTCCAACCGCAGTGAGCTGTCGTTGGTTGAAGGACAACTTTGGTTCGTAAACTCACATTTAGGGGAGTATAAAATTAGTAACATACATTTTGTTGTTCTGTATTTGGCTACAGCCTCCGCCCTGATGCCACACACCACCTGTCAATGCAGTTATGTTTTGCCCAATTGGGAAAAAGATTGACAAGCGAAAGTGGGCATTTTTTGTGTTTTTTTTGTGTTCTGATATTTCTTTTTCAGATGAGAGATAAACTACCCCTGCTCCAGGGATGACAGTAGTATGGATCAGGAGGAAATGAGCCTCCACTTTGGCACAAAAGCCCACAATATGAATTGAGGACGATCCGGGAGAAAAGCAACTGGAGATGAACGGAACAGTCGGTACTTTTGCAGCCTCACTGAGGGCCACTGAGACCCACTGCTTACTTCTCAGCAAAACTCGGTCCCGTGGCAGCAGGGTTGCCTCGCTGCCTGCGGGCTGTGGCTGCCGCTGAGAAAGCGGCCCTAGCATCACGTGACCTTGTGGGATACACTGAACTAACTTTGCTTGTGCCCCATGCTGTTTCCCTGATCCTGTTAGAGCAGAGGGCCTCTCGCCTTTCTGCGGCTCGTTGGCTGGGGTGCAACACGGTGCTCTTTGAACTACGGTGAAGGGACACAGCTGAACCCCTCCTCGCTGCTGCCCACGCCAGAGGAAGGGGAGGCACACTGCTGTATCGCCACAATAGAACAGATATGCACTCCCAGGCCAGACCTGAAAGAGGTGCCTCTGACTAATCCTGACTTGATTTTTTTTATATACAGACGGAGCCGCGTCACGTGACAACACTGGGAAGAACCGAGTCGGCTATGCTGTGTGTTCTGATTTTGATACTATAGACTCTGGTAGTTTGCCCCACTACCACTCAGCACAAACCGCTGAGCTGGTCGCGCCCACCGGGGCTTGTGAGCTGGCAGCGGGCAAAACTGTTAACATATTCTGTGATACGCGCTATGGTTTCTCTGTGGTGCACGACTGGGAAGCACTGTGGAAACACCGCAATTTTATGAAATCTGATGGTAAACCAATTCTTAATTCCACACAGGTTGAACGTCTGCTGAAAGCTGTAATGTTGCCCTTAGAGATCGCTGTATGCAAATGCCAGGCCCACACTAATGCCACTGATCCCATCTCTGCAGGGAATCGGCGCGCGGACAAGGCAGCGGCATACGCACCTCTACACACACACACACACTACCTCACTCAAGACGTTGATATTTTCTACTCCAGCAGAGACGCTGCTGTGGGAGGGGAATGGGGCTCAACGACGGCATGGTGTGTGTGGCTGTGTGTGCGGCCACCATCGGTGAAGCAGGCCAACAACAACACCCAGAGAATCCCAGCGTTCCCGAGGCGACCCCCCTTCTGCCCAACTCCCCAGCCCCCGGACCCCAAGGCCACACCCCAAATCCCGAGCACTCTGCCCAACCGAGTGCTGAGGCCAAGGCTTCAACGCAAATAGAGTCTTGCCGCTCCAAGACCAAACATCGCCATGACCACTAACGCTCCACACACGCTCATAGGGAGCGGTGCCACTGACTGCGAGACGGCACTGTTCGACCGGCTGGTCCTGGACCACCTGACCGCGTCTGTGGGAGGCGTATGCACGATCATCGGGTCGTCCTGCTGTACATATATTCCGGCCAACGATGAGGACGGAGGTCTTATCCAACAGGGCATAGCCAATCTGACTAGACTCCGGGACGCCATGCAAGCGGACAATGTCACGGACACTCCTCACGGTCTGGACTGGCTCCTGTCCTCCTGGCGAAGTGTGCTCATTAATCTTGGTTTAGCCCTATTGACCGTTATGATTTTATTTTCATGTGTATTACCTGTGGTGTTTCGGGCCGTTGGTAAAATGATATCCACTCACTTTGTGTCCATTCAATACAAAGACCCTGAGGCGGACCTGGCCGCGGTCCCACTGAACTCCGATCCTGATTATATCAGCGATTCGGACGACGACTTTGTCTAACGTTTTTCTTTCTTGTTTACTTTGTTTTTATTTTTCCACTTGTTCCGCCCACAATTTAGGGGGAGGGTATCACAGCGAAGAGCTTTGACCACACCCCCGTAATACAAGAGGCTTGGGTGACGGCGGCGTAACCTGCCCATCAACAACTCTTCTTTTACTCAGGGGCCAAGGTCAATACTCACACACCTGAATGTGATCTCTGTAAAACTGGGGTTTTTACATTATCACGGGAAAGGAGTGTGATGGCAAGCGACTAGTATTCATGTAACCCTGCCTGTGTCTATTCATATGTCATATGTCCCTGTTCCAGGAAGGAGCCGGGCCCCCCCCGACACCTACAGACAATGGCGCAAATCACTGTCCTCCCTTTCGCCTCTTGCATATCTATCGGTCTGTATGTGTGCATCTTCTACATCCTGCTGTCTGTCACACCCTTGTGTCTTCCGTGTCTTGCATCTGTATGACCTGCATTTAGACCATTGTCTGTCTGTTCGCACCTCGTTCCCAGACGGCGCCAAACGCTCCCCATGCGCCTCCTCACGGGTGGCCCCCTCCAATCTGTTGTGGGCGGGACTGTCTCTCGTGTGTGTCTTGTATACAGGAAACTTGGGGCTCTGCCCTCAGAGCTAGTACATGCTGCCTTGTGTATGTGCTGACTCTCCGTACGTATGTTAACAATAAACTTACGCTTTTGATCAGACAAAGACCTTTGAGTTTTCTCCTTCATTGGGTAGAAACTTCCTTAACAGACACCAGAGAGCGACCAGAGAGAGAGACCAGAGAGACCAGAAAGAGAGACCAGAGAGAGAGACCAGAGAGAGATAGACCAGAGAGACCAGAGAGAGATAGACCAGAGAGACCAGAGAGAGACCAGAGAGAGACCATAGAGAGAGAGACCAGAGAGAGATAGACCAGAGAGAGACCATAGAGAGAGAGACCAGAGAGAGATAGACCAGAGAGAGACCAGAGAGAGAGACCAGAGAGAGATAGACCAGAGAGACCAGAGAGAGACCAGAGAGAGACCATAGAGAGAGAGACCAGAGAGAGACCAGAGAGAGAGACCAGAGAGAGATAGACCAGAGAGACCAGAGAGAGATAGACCAGAGAGACCAGAGAGAGACCATAGAGAGAGAGACCAGAGAGAGAGAGACCAGAGAGAGACCAGAGAGAGACCAGAGAGAGAGACCAGAGAGAGATAGACCAGAGAGAGATAGACCAGAGAGAGAGCAGAGAGAACCGTGATGACAATCGTATTAACGTGAACAATAAAGAAGTAGGAGACCACGGTGTCAGGTCCAGACAGTTCCAACAGAAAAAGCCTCGGTTAAAAACATAAAGTTATCTTTGGCTTCTTTAAAAGTTTCAACGCCGAGATTCAGAGTCAGGTCCTTTTCCCAGATCTGTTCCTCAGACACAAAGGACTGAGGGGAGTTTTCCTTCCATGGTTTTTACAAATTAAAATTGAAAATGAAATGGCTTGAATTTTCAATAATATAAATATTGAATAATGCTTTGGTGCGACCGGAAGTGTGTGCCAAAGAGGAGGAGCAGGAGGAGGAGCAGGAGCAAGAGGAGGAGGAGCAGGAGGAGTAGGAGCAAGAGGAGGAGGAGCAGAACGAGGACGAGGAGCAGGAGGAGGAGCAGGAGGAGGAGGAGGAGCAGAAACAGGAGGAGGAGCAGAAGGAGCAGGAGGAGCAGAAGGAGGAGCAGGAGCAGGAGGAGGAGCTGGAGGAGGAGCAGGAGCTGGAGGAGGAGGAGCAGGAGCAAGAGGAGGAGGAACAGGAGGAGGAGCAAGAGGAGGAGGAGCAGGAACAGGAGGAGGAGCAGAAGGAGGAGGAGCAGGAGGAGGAGCAGGAGAAGGTGGAAGAGCAGGCGGAGGAGGAGGAGCAGGAGCAAGAGGAGCAGGAGGAGGAACAGGAGGAGGAGGAGCAGGAGCAAGAGGAGGAGGAGCAGGAACAGGAGGAGGAGCAGAAGGAGGAGGAGCAGGAGGAGGAGCAGGAGGAGGAACAGGAGGAGCAGGAGCAAGAGGAGGAGGAGGAGCAGGAGCAAGAGGAGGAGCAGGAGGAGGAGCAGGAGGAGGAACAGGAGGAGGAGGAGCAGGAGCAGGAGGAGGAGGAGCAGGAGCAGGAGGAGGAGGAGGAGCAGGAGGAGAGGAGGAGGAGCAGAAGGAGGAGGAGCAGGAGGAGGAGCAGGAGGAGGAGCAGGATGAGGAGGAGGAGCAGGAGAAGGCGGAGGAGCAGGCGGAGGAGCAGGAGGAGGAGCAGGAAGAGGAGCAGGAAGAGGGGGAGCAGGAGGAGAAGCAGGAGGAGGAGCAGGAGCAAGAGGAGAAGGAGCAGGAGGAGGAGGAGCAGGAGGAGGAGCAGGAGCAAGAGGAGGAGGAGCAGGAGGAGGAGCAGGAGCAAGAGGAGGAGGAGCAGGAGGAGGAGCAGGAAGAGGGGGAGCAGGAGCAGGAGGAGAAGCAGGAGGAGGAGCAGGAGCAAGAGGAGGAGGAGCAGGAGGAGGAGGAGGAGCAGGAGGAGGAGCAGGAGGAGGAGGAGCAGGAGGAGGAGGAGCAGGAGAGCTCGAGTGTCCGAGGTGCAGGACGTGGCACCAGTGCTGAGTCTGAATGCCTCAAACGACAGAGACCTCCAAGGTTACTGACCCCAATCCAGGTTCTGCTACTGACCTCCAATCCAAGGTTACTGACCTCCAATCCAAGGTTACTGACCTCCAATCCAAGGTTACTGACCTCAATCCAGGTTACTAATCCAAGGTTACTGACCTCCAATCCAAGGTTACTGACCTCCCAATCCAAGGTTACTGACCTCCAATCCAAGGTTACTGACCTCAATCCAAGGTTACTGACCTCAATCCAAGGTTACTGACCTTCAATCCAAGGTTACTGACCTTCAATCCAAGGTTACTGACCTGACAATCCAAGGTTACTGACCTCCAATCCAAGGTTACTGACCTCCAATCCAAGGTTACTGACCTCCAATCCAAGGTTACTGACCTCCAATCCAAGGTTACTGACCTCCAATCCAAGGTTACTGACCTCCAATCCAAGGTTACTGACCTCCAATCCAAGGTTACTGACCTCCAATCCAAGGTTACTGACCTCCAATCCAAGGTTACTGGCCTCCAATCAAGGTTACTGACCTCCAATCCAAGGTTACTGACCTCCAATCCAAGGTTACTGACCTCCAATCCAAGGTTACTGACCTCCAATCCAAGGTTACTGACCTCCAATCCAAGGTTACTGACCTCCAATCCAAGGTTACTGACCTCCAATCCAAGGTTACTGACCTCCAATCCAAGGTTACTGACCTCCAATCCAAGGTTACTGACCTCCAATCCAAGGTTACTGACTCCTCCAATATCCAAGGTTACTGACCTCCAATCCAAGGTTACTGACCTCCAATCCAAGGTTACTGACCTCAATCCAGGTTACTGACCTCCAATCCAAGGTTACTGACCTCATCAGTTAGACCCAATCCAAGGTTACTGACCTCCAATCCAAGGTTACTGACCTCCAATCCAAGGTTACTGACCTCCAATCCAAGGTTACTGACCTCCAATCCAAGGTTACTGACCTCATGACCTCCAATCCAAGGTTACTGACCTCCAATCCAAGGTTACTGACCTCCAATCCAAGGTTACTGACCTCCAATCCAAGGTTACTGACCTCCAATCCAAGGTTACTGACCTCCAATCCAAGGTTACTGACCTCCAATCCAAGGTTACTGACCTCCAATCCAAGGTTACTGACCTCCAATCCAAGGTTACTGACCTCCAATCCAAGGTTACTGACCTCCAATCCAAGGTTACTGACCTCCAATCCAAGGTTACTGACCTCAATCCAAGGTTACTGACCTCCCAAGGTTACTGACCTCAATCCAAGGTTACTGACCTCCAATCCAAGGTTACTGACCTCCAATCCAAGGTTACTGACCTCCAATCCAAGGTTACTGACCTCCAATCCAAGGTTACTGACCTCCAATCCAAGGTTACTGACCTCCAATCCAAGGTTACTGACCTCCAATCCAAGGTTACTGACCTCCAATCCAAGGTTACTGACCTCCAATCCAAGGTTACTGACCTCCAATCCAAGGTTACTGACCTCCAATCCAAGGTTACTGACCTCCAATCCAAGGTTACTGACCTCCAATCCAAGGTTACTGACCTCCAATCCAAGGTTACTGACCTCCAATCCAAGGTTACTGACCTCCAATCCAAGGTTACTGACCTCCAATCCAAGGTTACTGACCTCCAATCCAAGGTTACTGACCTCCAATCCAAGGTTACTGACCTCCAATCCAAGGTTACTGACCTCCAATCCAAGGTTACTGACCTCCAATCCAAGGTTACTGACCTCCAATTCAAGGTTACTGACCTCCAATCCAAGGTTACTGACCTTCAATCCAAGGTTACTGACCTCCAATCCAAGGTTACTGACCTCCAATCCAAGGTTACTGACCTTCAATCCAAGGTTACTGACCTTCAATCCAAGGTTACTGACCTCCAATCCAAGGTTACTGACTTCCAATCCAAGGTTACTGACCTCCAATTCAAGGTTACTGACCTCCAATCCAAGGTTACTGACCTCCAATCCAAGGTTACTGACCTTCAATCCAAGGTTACTGACTTCCAATCCAAGGTTACTGACCTCCAATCCAAGGTTACTGACCTCCAATCCAAGGTTACTGACCTCCAATCCAAGGTTACTGACCTCCAATCCAAGGTTACTGACCTTCAATCCAAGGTTACTGACCTCCAATCCAAGGTTACTGACCTCCAATCCAAGGTTACTGACCTCCAATTCAAGGTTACTGACCTCCAATCCAAGGTTACTGACCTTCAATCCAAGGTTACTGACCTCCAATCCAAGGTTACTGACCTCCAATCCAAGGTTACTGACCTTCAATCCAAGGTTACTGACCTTCAATCCAAGGTTACTGACCTCCAATCCAAGGTTACTGACTTCCAATCCAAGGTTACTGACCTTCAATCCAAGGTTACTGACTTCCAATCCAAGGTCCCGTAGAAATAATATTTGTCTCTTTGGGAGAAGGAGAGAACACATCCGTAACAAAATTCATGGCGGACTTTCTCCAGCGCGAGTTACCTCTGACGGGCATAGAGCTAAAGACACAACAGGCTCACCGCGTCCCCGCCATAGACTGTATATATTAATGGACAGAGTCACGCCTATCTCCGCCGTTCTAACTAATGGGCCAAAAACTGTGCTCTACTGGAGCAATCCAAAATGGCAGCGAGTGGTCCCGCCCACAAGAAAATTGTGAAAAAACGCATCTGTGCATGCGTCAGCCGGAGAGAGCTCCTTTCATTTGAACGATAGACTTAAAAAATTCACAGCAAGTGAACTAGAGTGGACCAAACCCCCCCCCTCAGCATTGACACACATGTGGAACGGAGCTTTGGGCCAAGAGACAACTTTTGGTCCATCCTGTAAAGACGTTTTTGAGAGGTCTGCCAATGCTATATGTTAGCATTGGCTAATTCTACTTCTGGGACCCTCCCCCACTGGTCCCCGCACAGAAACCCCGCTCCGGAGCCCCGCCAAGACCCATCGTGGTCAACTTCCAGGAGTTCACCACGAAAGAATGAATGCTGAGAGAGGCTTGGAGAAAGGGGCGGATCCAGCTCAATGGCAACGTTGAATACTTTGACCACGACTATGTGACAGAGATTGTCCAAAGGCGCAAGGAGTATCAAGTGATGAAGGCACTGAAGAAGAGGCGTGTGCTTCCAAACGCCATACACAAGCATCCGCCTTCACTGGCAGGACGGCGTTGTAGGTTACAGACGCGCTCAAGAGCGGGACGCGAGCTGCAGACACGGGGATACGACGTGCAGGTGCCAGCCTCCAGCGAGGAGGACACGCCGGCCAGCCTCCAGCTAGGAGGACACGCCGGCCAGCCTCCAGCTAGGAGGACACGCCGGCCAGCCTCCAGCTAGGAGGACACGCCGGCCAGCCTCCAGAGGAGGACACGCCGGCCAGCCTCCAGAGGAGGACACGCCGGCCAGCCTCCAGAGGAGGACACGCCGGCCAGCCTCCAGCTAGGAGGACACGCCGGCCAGCCTCCAGAGGAGGACACGGCGGCCAGCCTCCAGAGGAGGACACGCCGGCCAGCCTCCAGAGGAGGACACGGCGGCCAGCCTCCAGAGGAGGACACGCCGGCCAGCCTCCAGCTAGGAGGACACGGCGGGCAGCCTCCAGAGAGGAGGACACGGCGGGCAGCCTCCAGAGAGGAGGACACGGCGGGCAGGAGGAGCTGTTGAACCCTGGGAGGAGGTACAGAGGGAGGAGCTGTTGAACCCTGGGAGGAGGTACAGAGGGAGGAGCCGTTGAACCCTGGGAGGAGGTACAGAGGGATGACCTCCCAGGGTTCAACAGCTCCTCCCTCTGTACCTTAGGGTTAGGGTCTGTCCATGCTGGGTTAGGGTCTGGGAGGAGGTACGGAGGGAGGAGCTGTTGAACCCTAGGAGGAGGTACAGAGGGAGGAGCTGTTGAACCCTAGGAGGAGGTACAGAGGGAGGAGCTGTTGAACCCTGGGAGGAGGTACAGAGGGAGGAGCTGTTGAACCCTGGGAGGAGGTACAGAGGGAGGAGCTGTTGAACCCTGGGAGGAGGTACAGAGGGATGAGCTGTTGAACCCTGGGAGGAGGTGCAGAGGGATGAGCTGTTGAACCCTAGGAGGAGGTACAGAGGGAGGAGCTGTTGAACCCTGGGAGGAGGTGCAGAGGGATGAGCTGTTGAACCCTAGGAGGAGGTACAGAGGGAGGAGCTGTTGAACCCTGGGAGGAGGTACAGAGGGAGGAGCTGTTGAACCCTGGGAGGAGGTACAGAGGAGCTGTTGAACCCTGGGAGGAGGTACAGAGGGAGGAGCTGTTGAACCCTGGGAGGAGGTACAGAGGAGCTGTTGAACCCTGGGAGGAGGTACAGAGGAGCTGTTGAACCCTGGGAGGAGGTACAGAGGGAGGAGCTGTTGAACCCTGGGAGGAGGTACAGAGGGAGGAGCTGTTGAACCCTGGGAGGAGGTACAGAGGAGCTGTTGAACCCTGGGAGGAGGTACAGAGGGAGGAGCTGTTGAACCCTGGGAGGAGGTACAGAGGGAGGAGCTGTTGAACCCTGGGAGGAGGTAGAGAGGGAGGAGCTGTTGAACCCTGGGAGGAGGTACAGAGGGATGAGCTGTTGAACCCTGGGAGGAGGTGCAGAGGGAGGAGCTGTTGAACCCTGGGAGGAGGTACAGAGGGAGGAGCTGTTGAACCCTGGGAGGAGGTACAGAGGAGCTGTTGAACCCTGGGAGGAGGTACAGAGGGAGGAGCTGTTGAACCCTGGGAGGAGGTACAGAGGAGCTGTTGAACCCTGGGAGGAGGTAAAGAGGGAGGAGCTGTTGAACCCTGGGAGGAGGTACAGAGGGAGGAGCTGTTGAACCCTGGGAGGAGGTACAGAGGGAGGAGCTGTTGAACCTTGGGAGGAGGTGCAGAGGGAGGAGCTGTTGAACCCTGGGAGGAGGTACAGAGGGAGGAGCTGTTGAACCTTGGGAGGAGGTGCAGAGGGAGGAGCTGTTGAACCCTGGGAGGAGGTACAGAGGGAGGAGCTGTTGAACCCTGGGAGGAGGTACAGAGGGAGGAGCTGTTGAACCCTGGGAGGAGGTACAGAGGGATGAGCTGTTGAACCCACAGAGGGAGGAGCTGTTGAACCCTGGGAGGAGGTACAGAGGAGCTGTTGAACCCTGGGAGGAGGTACAGAGGAACTGTTGAACCCTGGGAGGAGGTACAGAGGGAGGAGCTGTTGAACCCTGGGAGGAGGTACAGAGGAGCTGTTGAACCCTGGGAGGAGCTGTTGAACCCTGGGAGGAGGTGCAGAGGGATGAGCTGTTGAACCCTGGGAGGAGGTACAGAGGGAGGAGCTGTTGAACCCTGGGAGGAGGTACAGAGGAGCTGTTGAACCCTGGGAGGAGGTACAGAGGGAGGAGCTGTTGAACCCTGGGAGGAGGTACAGAGGGAGGAGCTGTTGAACCCTGGGAGGAGGTACAGAGGGAGGAGCTGTTGAACCCTGGGAGGAGGTACAGAGGGAGGAGCTGTTGAACCCTGGGAGGAGGTACAGAGGAGCTGTTGAACCCTGGGAGGAGGTACAGAGGGAGGAGCTGTTGAACCCTGGGAGGAGGTACAGAGGGAGGAGCTGTTGAACCCTGGGAGGAGGTAAAGAGGGAGGAGCTGTTGAACCCTGGGAGGAGTTACAGAGAGAGGAGCTGTTGAACCCTGGGAGGAGGTACAGAGGAGCTGTTGAACCCTGGGAGGAGGTACAGAGGGAGGAGCTGTTGAACCCTGGGAGGAGGTGCAGAGGGAGGAGCTGTTGAACCTTGGGAGGAGGTACAGAGGGAGGAGCTATTGAACCCTGGGAGGAGGTACAGAGGGATGAGCTGTTGAACCCACAGAGGGAGGAGCTGTTGAACCCTGGGAGGAGGTACAGAGGGAGGAGCTGTTGAACCTTGGGAGGAGGTACAGAGGAGCTGTTGAACCCTGGGAGGAGCTACAGAGGGAGGAGCTGTTGAACCCTGGGAGGAGGTACAGAGGGATGAGCTGTTGAACCCACAGAGGGAGGAGCTGTTGAACCCTGGGAGGAGGTACAGAGGGAGGAGCTGTTGAACCTTGGGAGGAGGTACAGAGGAGCTGTTGAACCCTGGGAGGAGCTACAGAGGGAGGAGCTGTTGAACCCTGGGAGGAGGTACAGAGGAGCTGTTGAACCCTGGGAGGAGGTACAGAGGGAGGAGCTGTTGAACCCTGGGAGGAGGTGCAGAGGGAGGAGCTGTTGAACCTTGGGAGGAGGTGCAGAGGGAGGAGCTGTTGAACCCTGGGAGGAGGTACAGAGGGAGGAGCTGTTGAACCCTGGGAGGAGGTACAGAGGGATGAGCTGTTGAACCCTGGGAGGAGGTGCAGAGGAGCTGTTGAACCCTGGGAGGAGGTACAGAGGGAGGAGCTGTTGAACCCTGGGAGGAGGTACAGAGGGATGAGCTGTTGAACCCTGGGAGGAGGTGCAGAGGGATGAGCTGTTGAACCCTGGGAGGAGGTACAGAGGAGCTGTTGAACCCTGGGAGGAGGTACAGAGGGAGGAGCTGTTGAACCCTGGGAGGAGGTACAGAGGGAGGAGCTGTTGAACCCTGGGAGGAGGTACAGAGGGAGGAGCTGTTGAACCCTGGGAGGAGGTACAGAGGGAGGAGCTGTTGAACCCTGGGAGGAGGTACAGAGGAGCTGTTGAACCCTGGGAGGAGGTACAGAGGGAGGAGCTGTTGAACCCTGGGAGGAGGTACAGAGGGAGGAGCTGTTGAACCCTGGGAGGAGGTACAGAGGGAGGAGCTGTTGAACCCTGGGAGGAGGTACAGAGGAGCTGTTGAACCCTGGGAGGAGGTAAAGAGGGAGGAGCTGTTGAACCCTGGGAGGAGGTACAGAGGGAGGAGCTGTTGAACCCTGGGAGGAGGTACAGAGGAGATGTTGAACCCTGGGAGGAGGTACAGAGGGAGGAGCTGTTGAACCCTGGGAGGAGGTGCAGAGGGAGGAGCTGTTGAACCCTGGGAGGAGGTACAGAGGGAGGAGCTGTTGAACCCTGGGAGGAGGTACAGAGGGAGGAGCTGTTGAACCCTGGGAGGAGGTACAGAGGAGCTGTTGAACCCTGGGAGGAGGTACAGAGGGAGGAGCTGTTGAACCCTGGGAGGAGGTACAGAGGGAGGAGCTGTTGAACCCTGGGAGGAGGTACAGAGGAGCTGTTGAACCCTGGGAGGAGGTAAAGAGGGAGGAGCTGTTGAACCCTGGGAGGAGGTACAGAGGGAGGAGCTGTTGAACCCTGGGAGGAGGTACAGAGGGAGGAGCTGTTGAACCTTGGGAGGAGGTGCAGAGGGAGGAGCTGTTGAACCCTGGGAGGAGGTACAGAGGGAGGAGCTGTTGAACCCTGGGAGGAGGTACAGAGGGAGGAGCTGTTGAACCCTGGGAGGAGGTACAGAGGGATGAGCTGTTGAACCCACAGAGGGAGGAGCTGTTGAACCCTGGGAGGAGGTACAGAGGAGCTGTTGAACCCTGGGAGGAGGTACAGAGGAACTGTTGAACCCTGGGAGGAGGTACAGAGGGAGGAGCTGTTGAACCCTGGGAGGAGGTACAGAGGAGCTGTTGAACCCTGGGAGGAGCTGTTGAACCCTGGGAGGAGGTGCAGAGGGATGAGCTGTTGAACCCGGGGAGGAGGTACAGAGGGAGGAGCTGTTGAACCCTGGGAGGAGGTACAGAGGAGCTGTTGAACCCTGGGAGGAGGTACAGAGGAACTGTTGAACCCTGGGAGGAGGTACAGAGGGAGGAGCTGTTGAACCCTGGGAGGAGGTACAGAGGAGCTGTTGAACCCTGGGAGGAGCTGTTGAACCCTGGGAGGAGGTACAGAGGAGCTGTTGAACCCTGGGAGGAGGTACAGAGGGAGGAGCTATTGAACCCTGGGAGGAGGTACAGAGGAGCTGTTGAACCCTGGGAGGAGGTACAGAGGGAGGAGCTGTTGAACCCTGGGCGGAGGTGCAGAGGGATGAGCTGTTGAACCCTGGGAGGAGGTACAGAGGTAGGAGCTGTTGAACCTTGGGAGGAGGTACAGAGGGAGGAGCTGTTGAACCCTGGGAGGAGGTACAGAGGGAGGAGCTGTTGAACCCTGGGAGGAGGTACAGAGGTAGGAGCTGTTGAACCTTGGGAGGAGGTACAGAGGGAGGAGCTGTTGAACCCTGGGAGGAGGTACAGAGGGAGGAGCTGTTGAACCCTGGGAGGAGGTACAGAGGGAGGAGCTGTTGAACCCTGGGAGGAGGTACAGAGGGAGGAGCTGTTGAACCCTGGGAGGAGGTACAGAGGGAGGAGCTGTTGAACCCACAGAGGGAGGAGCTGTTGAACCCTGGGAGGAGGTACAGAGGGAGGAGCTGTTGAACCCTGGAAGGAGGTACAGAGGAGCTGTTGAACCCTGGGAGGAGGTGCAGAGGGATGAGCTGTTGAACCCTGGGAGGAGGTACAGAGGGAGGAGCTGTTGAACCCTGGGAGGAGGTACAGAGGGATGAGCTGTTGAACCCACAGAGGGAGGAGCTGTTGAACCCTGGGAGGAGGTACAGAGGAGCTGTTGAACCCTGGGAGGAGGTACAGAGGAACTGTTGAACCCTGGGAGGAGGTACAGAGGGAGGAGCTGTTGAACCCTGGGAGGAGGTACAGAGGAGCTGTTGAACCCTGGGAGGAGGTACAGAGGGAGGAGCTGTTGAACCCTGGGAGGAGGTACAGAGGAGCTGTTGAACACTGGGAGGAGGTGCAGAGGGATGAGCTGTTGAACCCTGGGAGGAGGTACAGAGGGAGGAGCTGTTGAACCCTGGGAGGAGGTACAGAGGAGCTGTTGAACCCTGGGAGGAGGTACAGAGGGAGGAGCTATTGAACCCTGGGAGGAGGTACAGAGAAGCTGTTGAACCCTGGGAGGAGGTACAGAGGGAGGAGCTGTTGAACCCTGGGAGGAGGTACAGAGGGAGGAGCTGTTGAACCCTGGGCGGAGGTGCAGAGGGATGAGCTGTTGAACCCTGGGAGGAGGTACAGAGGTAGGAGCTGTTGAACCTTGGGAGGAGGTACAGAGGGAGGAGCTGTTGAACCCTGGGAGGAGGTACAGAGGGAGGAGCTGTTGAACCCTGGGAGGAGGTACAGAGGGAGGAGCTGTTGAACCCTGGGAGGAGGTACAGAGGGAGGAGTTGTTGAACCCTGGGAGGAGGTACAGAGGGATGAGCTGTTTAACCCACAGAGGGAGGAGCTGTTGAACCCTGGGAGGAGGTACAGAGGGAGGAGCTGTTGAACCCTGGGAGGAGGTACAGAGGAGCTGTTGAACCCTGGGAGGAGGTACAGAGGAACTGTTGAACCCTGGGAGGAGGTACAGAGGAGCTGTTGAACCCTGGGAGGAGCTGTTGAACCCTGGGAGGAGGTACAGAGGGAGGAGCTGTTGAACCCTGGGAGGAGGTGCAGAGGGAGGAGCTGTTGAACCCTGGGAGGAGGTACAGAGGGAGGAGCTGTTGAACCCTGGGAGGAGGTACAGAGGGAGGAGCTGTTGAACCCTGGGAGGAGGTACAGAGGAGCTGTTGAACCCTGGGAGGAGGTACAGAGGAGCTGTTGAACCCTGGGAGGAGGTACAGAGGGAGGAGCTGTTGAACCCTGGGAGGAGGTACAGAGGGAGGAGCTGTTGAACCCTGGGAGGAGGTACAGAGGGAGGAGCTGTTGAACCCTGGGAGGAGGTGCAGAGGGAGGAGCTGTTGAACCCTGGGAGGAGGTACAGAGGAGCTGTTGAACCCTGGGAGGAGGTACAGAGGGAGAAGCTGTTGAACCCTGGGAGGAGGTGCAGAGGGAGGAGCTGTTGAACCCTGGGAGGAGGTACAGAGGGAGGAGCTGTTGAACCCTGGGAGGAGGTGCAGAGGGAGGAGCTGTTGAACCCTGGGAGGAGGTACAGAGGGAGGAGCTGTTGAACCCTGGGAGGAGGTACAGAGGGAGGAGCTGTTGAACCCTGGGAGGAGGTACAGAGGAGCTGTTGAACCCTGGGAGGAGGTACAGAGGAGCTGTTGAACCCTGGGAGGAGGTACAGAGGGAGGAGCTGTTGAACCCTGGGAGGAGGTACAGAGGGAGGAGCTGTTGAACCCTGGGAGGAGGTACAGAGGAGCTGTTGAACCCTGGGAGGAGGTACAGAGGAACTGTTGAACCCTGGGAGGAGGTACAGAGGAGCTGTTGAACCCTGGGAGGAGCTGTTGAACCCTGGGAGGAGGTACAGAGGGAGGAGCTGTTGAACCCTGGGAGGAGGTACAGAGGAGCTGTTGAACCCTGGGAGGAGGTACAGAGGGAGGAGCTGTTGAACCCTGGGAGGAGGTACAGAGGGGGGAGCTGTTGAACCCTGGGAGGAGGTACAGAGGGAGGAGCTGTTGAACCCTGGGAGGAGGTACAGAGGGAGGAGCTGTTGAACCCTGGGAGGACTTACAGAGGGATGAGCTGTTGAACCCTGGGAGGAGGTGCAGAGGGAGGAGCTGTTGAACCCTGGGAGGAGGTACAGAGGAGCTGTTGAACCCTGGGAGGAGGTACAGAGGGAGAAGCTGTTGAACCCTGGGAGGAGGTGCAGAGGGAGGAGCTGTTGAACCCTGGGAGGAGGTACAGAGGGAGGAGCTGTTGAACCCTGGGAGGAGGTGCAGAGGGAGGAGCTGTTGAACCCTGGGAGGAGGTACAGAGGGAGGAGCTGTTGAACCCTGGGAGGAGGTACAGAGGGAGGAGCTGTTGAACCCTGGGAGGAGGTACAGAGGAGCTGTTGAACCCTGGGAGGAGGTACAGAGGAGCTGTTGAACCCTGGGAGGAGGTACAGAGGGAGGAGCTGTTGAACCCTGGGAGGAGGTACAGAGGGAGGAGCTGTTGAACCCTGGGAGGAGGTACAGAGGAGCTGTTGAACCCTGGGAGGAGGTACAGAGGGAGGAGCTGTTGAACCCATTGTGGAGGATGAACATTGGGTTTAACAATGAAAAGTTATAAAGAAATTAGCCAGCGACACTACGGCACCAGCGACACTACGGTACCAGCGACACTACGGCACCAGCGACACTACGGTACCAGCGACACTACGGTACCAGCGACACTACGGCACCAGCGACACTACGGCACCAGCGACACTACGGCACCAGCGACACTACGGCACCAGCGACACTACGGTACCAGCGACACTACGGCACCAGCGACACTACGGTACCAGCGACACTACGGCACCAGCGACACTACGGTACCAGCGACACTACGGCACCAGCGACACTACGGTACCAGCGACACTACGGCACCAGCGACACTACGGCACCAGCGACACTACGGCACCAGCGACACTACGGCACCAGCCACAGTGGGGCGGCTGCGGCTGTAAAGTGCCAAACTGTGGTTGTGTCCTTAGGCAAGACACTTCCCCCACATTAGAATGAGTCTGGTGTGTGTGTGAATGGTTGGTGGTGGTGGGAGGGGCTTCTTACAGTGTGCCCCAGGGCAGCTGTGGCTACAGTAGTTTCTCACTGTGTTTGGAGAGAGAGAGAATAACAATGTGATCTTTGAGAGTCCAGAAAAGCACTGTATAAAACTGATGCATTATTATTATTATTATTATTATTATTATTAGAGATGTAAGAAAACCATTGACAGATTTGGCAAACGAAGAAATTAAAGAAAATGCGATTCACCAAACAAACTCTTTATGACCCCTAAAGCGACTAAAGTGTTGGCTAAACGTCTGCGCTCACTACGAGTACGGAATTCTATCCATGAGATTAAAGATCCAGGAAGTGAGGAAAATAGAAATGACCCAAGACTCATTAAGAAGGCTTTTCTAAACTATTATAAAACCAAATAACAGCAGACGAAAAAGATTATTTGAATAATTTAGACCTCCCTTTGATCGGAAACATCCAAATGACTCTTTAACTAAACCTAACTTAACTGAACTTAAAAGATTGAAGAACAATAAAAGCCCAGGGAGTGATTCCTGATGGATTCTACACAATGTTCAAAGACGATCTAAAATGCATCATTTTAGAATCTTTCAGTTGGACAAAGCCTTAATATCAGTTTTACCAACAGGATACTGCAAGTCCTACCGCCCCATCTCCATTTCAAATGTAGACTACAAGTTATTCACCTCCATAACTACTAAAGGGATCGAGCTCTTTCTTCCAGACCTCACTGATGAAGGATTCATAAAAGGCCCGACAAACAAGACGACATACGCCGCACATCATGAACCCAATTAATAAACAAAATATTCCGACAGCTAAACTAAGTCTCGACGCCGAAAAGGCATTCGATAGAGTCTCATGGACTTTTCTATTTGCTACTCTGAAAAGAATGGGCTTTAGTGAAGCCATTATAAATTGTATCACAGGCCAACGGCCAGAATAAAAATAAACGGTGACTTAACGGAGAGCTGAGCTTCCTGGAGGTCCGAGGCCTCAGCCCCGCTCTCTTTGTTTATGGAGCCATTAGCTCCACACATACAGCAAAGTGATGACATTAAAGGAGTCACATTATCCAGAACCCTGATGCTACTTTCCCCCAATTAATGAAAATCCTACAACACTTTGGAGAAAAGTCTGGGTATAAATTAAATATCTCCAAGACTCAAGAGCTATGTCTTAACTATCACCCTGAAGACTCAGACAGGAACACAACCTGCAGTGGGACTCAAGGTCAAATACCAGGTGTCGACTTACCGAGAGAAACTAGTGCATTATACAAAGTTACTCGAACATTAATGATGTCATTCAAAAAGATCTCACAACTTTATCTGTTCATGTCTCTCCCAATAAAGATACCAGACTCTCAGTTTGCTAAATGGAACTAATGATTCAGCAGATTCATTTGGAAAGGTCCAAAACCCAGAGTCAGATTAAAAACACTACAGCTCTTCCTAATTTTAAACAATCCTTTGGAGCTGAGAAACATCGTGCTCTGGTGTTCATCAGAATATGATGCTAGCTC